ATACAAAGGGCAGTACAAGCAGGAGTGAGTGCCTGTGAGCACCTCGGGGTGGAATGTTGAAACCAGGCACACTTCACAAAATGGCCTCAGGAGATGACGTGAGATAGGGAAGCTGAGTGGCAGGGAAACTTATAAAAGACCTTGACTTTTTTTTTTTCCATAGAAGGTTAAATTTTATCTGTGAGATAATTGAGAATTCATGTGGTACTGGAAACGGGAGACTTGTTTTGTGCTCTCTTGTCTCTAAATTACAGCGTGGGCACACTTCCCAGCACCTTCTCCACACCCATGAGGAAAAATAACCCATGCAACAGAGAAACACCAAATCTGAGACACTGAGAAGTCACTCAGTTTAAACCCAGCCCTTTTCTTCATTGCTGGTTTTAGGAAATGCGCCTCCACACCTCCTCAGCATTATTTGAATTCGGAATTGGAGTGGGTGGAAAGGACAAAAAATGGTGAAGAGTCCCAAAATACCAAACCTCCATTTGTGTTTACCTAAAAAAAAAACCAAAAAACAAACAAACAAAAAAAAAACCAAACCCTGTTGGTAACGTTACGTGAAAGTGACTCTGACAGGTGAGGTGCGTGTGGAGATTAGAATGGAGGGGGCTTCAGTGGGCTGCAGATGCTTCTTATTGTTAACACTGAAGCTAGGTTCCCACTTCCTCCTTTCTCCTTTCTTGCCCCTACCTACAGCTAATCGGTAGCGTGATCCTGTTCACCGGGCTTGTGAAACACCCACTGAGCTCTACTGGCTTTTCATTTCCTGTGCCCTGACCATTTACTTCACACCTTGTCCCTTCCACAGACCCTAATAATGGTTTTAGACGTGCCCAACGCTCTCTTTCTCTTGTTTCCAACCCACCCTTTACATTCTGTGATGACAGAAACGCTTTACCCTTATGCTATTCTATATTGCAGCTTCTTCCTCCCCCCACAAAGTGCCTATCGAGAACTAAACGTATGGCCAGCCTGGTCTACAGAGTGGTTTCCGGGACAGCCAGGGCAATTACACAGGGAAAACTTGTCTCAAAAAAAAAAAAGACAAAAACAAAAACAAAAACAAACAAACAAAAAAGGACAACAACAAAGAAGTAGGATGAAAATGCAGATAAAGGACACAAGAAAGATAAACCTAAACTGTAAGAAAGGAGTTAGGAGCAAGCCAGCATCCCAGAATTCCAGCGTGGCAAAGTTAACAGGGCCTGAGTTACACGGCAAGACACCGCTTTAGTTAACGTGGATCTTTTCCTCCCCTACCACATTGCTTTCAAAGCACTCCTTTCTTGTATCTCCATGTCCAGAGCTGGTAGTATGGCGTTGAATGGCATTTGTAACCCAGTCTTTTGCTTTGCCACCACTAATGTCCTCTGCCCACCTACATTTATAGTCTAGTGCTACAGAGCCTTGCTTCTCCTAAGCCAAACCCAGTTCAGATGTCCCAGCTATCACCCCTGCTCTCTGCTCTAATGACAGTGTCCATCCTTTATTTCTTTCCTTTCAAATGCCCCATATTTCAAGGCCTAATGAGGAAAGCCCGAACCTTATCCCCATCAGGGAAACCATCCCCCTCTCCTTGACCTCAGGTGAGCCTTGTCCCATCTCTCAGCCCAGTTCTGCTCATCTGTAAAGTGGGAAGAACAACATTTCCTCTTTGGGGGAGGGCTAAGAATTGCAACTTTAGACTCTACCACTGAGAAAGCACGAAATAAAGCCAGCTGTTATTGCCCCCACCCCAACAGTTATGGCTTGATGTTAGAAACATGTGCAAATGGAACTGTCTCTCTCCTGGAGACTGAATTTCTTAACAGCAAAGCTTGGTCTTGTTCTGCACTCTCCCTGGAGATACACTGTAGCCACTGGACAGATGCCTCTAATACATGAGTCAGTGACTAAATAGAAGAAGCTCTGAGCATGGCTTTTTTTTTTTTTTTTTTTTTTTTTTTAGACAAGGTTTCTTTGTGTAGCCTTGG